ACCCTCACCACCGTCCAGGCCTTCCGCACAGCCCTCAAGACCTGGCTAGCCCGTCAGGCCTGGGGACGAAGATAGCCGCCCCTCCCGAATGATGAATGAATGTTGCTCATTATTTTTACTCTATGTGTGTCTACGTCACTGTTTGTATTTCCCTCCCCCGATCTTATGTAAGCCGCCCTGAGTCCCCTCAGGGAAAAGGGCGGCTTATAAATGTTAATAAACTATCAAACTAACTATAAACTGTCTCAGCCTGGGGAAAAACACTGCCAGAGGCGATGTGTCCATTAGGTGGCGCTGTTTTCAAGGGAAGCCAGAAAAGGGAGCAGGCAGAGCAGTTGGGAGGAAAGGGGGGGGAGGAGATACCCAGCCTGGCCCACCCACGCAGGGGCCCAGGAAAGCCCCCCCGGGGTGCCCAAGAAGTGCCAGGTGGGCTGCTTGGAAGAAGGAAGCGCCTGGGTGACCACAGGGAGGCCTCCACCAGTCGCTTAGCCTGATCCCATTTCCAAGCCACGTCTGGTGGTGGTGAGTTTCATAGGCCAAATCCAAAAGCCGTTTGTTTCCGTTTATTTTTGGGGGGGTGTTGGCACTTATAGGGAGTTGTGGGCAATGCAATTAGGGAATTGTGCCATGCGATCCCCTCCCCCAAGCCTGCCTGCACTGTGGAGAGCTGAGCCTAAAGGGGGGCCCTGATGAAGGCCCACCAATGCTAAGGCTCTGGGCCGGTTGGATGGGGCCACGGAGGGCGCCACGGATGCTTGACAGAGCCTGTGCCCATCGGTTTGGTCAAGCCATGGGGCCCCCAGGCCTTGGGCCGGTCTGGGGCTTCCTCTGGCCACGCTGAGGGTGAGGGAGGGGGCTCAACTGGACCCTTCAGGGCCTGCAAATCTCAGAAACCAAAGACCGGCCTGGATGCCCTTTTCTGGCCCTTTGGCTGCCCAGACCACCTGCGGGGGGCTTCTCTCCTGCCCCAGGAGCTGGGCAGCGCCAGAGGGGGCTGTTCCCACGCAGCCAAAGGGACACTCTGGGTGGAGGAAGCCCTGAGCCAGAGGCGGCTCCAACCCTCCTGCTTCTTGGGAGGCTCCTCTGCAGTCTTTCCGACTGATGGGCAGGGCCTGGAGGGGAGCCAGGCTGGGAGGTAGAGGTGCCCCTCAACCGCCGGTCGGCTGGCTGGCTGGGGCCCCCACGGCTGCAGAGCCCTGGCAGGAGAAGAGGGCATCTGTGGCCTGTGTGGCTCGGCCAGCCAGAGCAGATGGGGCAGGGGAAGAGCAGGGGGAGGAAGAGGGGGGGCCCAGCAAAGCTTGGAGCCCTACATGGGGGGTGGGAGTGGTGAGGAGGCCCACTGATGCTTTGCACATTCACTGACCCCTCGGGTGGCCTGCAAGGGCTGCCTTGTGTGGGGGGGGTCAAGGCGTTGATCCTGGAACGGCTGGCTATGGGGGAGGGGGTCAAGCAGCCAGAGGTGCCACTGCCCAGGGAGTTGGCGCAGCATCTTCTGAGCCGGGATGATCTGGAGAATCAGCTCCACACACACCTGGTGCTGATCCTGGCAGCCCCAACCAGAATCCAGCATGATGGCATCACGTTTGACTGCTATTTCGTCAGCTCCTTTCCCGAGGTCTCCTTAAGTGGCCCTGTTGAGGTGAGGCATCCCCCCCCTCTGTGTAGGAGGGAAGCCCCCGCAGGGCCAGAGGGCAAAGACTCCCCCCCCCCCCGGCATGGCAGGTGAGGAAATATAAAGGCTACCTTGAACTGTTCAGCTTCATCCCTGCAGATCTGGCTGCAGGCCAGCTGCAACGATGCCATTGCAAAGGAACCCCCCTCCCCCCCATTGCTGCCCAGCTGGGGGAATAAATGGGTGCTGGGACCCCCCCCCTCCCCTTCTCTGGAAACATCCGTGGCTGCTCCTGGAACTTTCAAGGATCTGGATATTAAGGATGCCAGAGGGAGATAAATTGCAGTTTGTTCCCTTTGTGGTTTTGGGGCTGGGATGAGGGTCTCTCCTTTCTTTTTGACTGGAGTTGTGGGGGGGGGCTTCCCGATCCTTCCCATCTTGGAGCTGAGCTGCTTGCAACTGAGGAGGGGTCAGTTCGGTTGGATGTCCTTCTTTCTAGGGAGAGTCAGCAGCCTGGCCTTCAATTCGAATTCTGCGGCCTTGTAATTCGCACTCAACTCCCCCCCGTGACGGTTCCTTGCCCCTCTGAGAGCCTTCAGAACCATTTTGGCCGTTTGCCAAAAGCTCTTCGGAAGCTCCTGGCTGGCCCCCAGTGGTGTGGCCTTGCTCCCCCTCCCTCCCCTCGGCCGGACGGTGTGGGCAGAGGAGGAGGTGCCCTGTTGTCCAGGCACTGGCACCCCTGCCCAGCCCCGCTCTGGTCCCCTGCCGGCAGTGCCCCTCCCTTGCCCAGAGAACCCGAAAATGGCCCAAGCAGAACCACACGGGACCTTTGCCCCACGGTCATTGTGGTAGTGGGATGCCACCCCCCCCCCTTCTACACGGGCACCACTGGCCGCTTCCTTTGTTAGGCAGCGAACCTTCTTCAAATTAAGGAACATAAGGTGGTTACGGTTGCCAGGGCGACATCCGATTTCCTTGGCAACCGCAGCCGGGTAAAGCCAGCTGAGTTTCATCAAGGGTCACGTTGCAAACTGAGGGAGAAGGGGGGGGCTTTTAAGAAGGGGGGGCACAGGATGCCACCCATAGGCAAGTGCTGAGTTCAAGGCCGGCAGCTGCTGCCCACCGTCCCCTCCCTCGTCCTCTCTCGGCCCCTCCCAGAGGGCGACTTTGCACATGGGCAGCATCACATGGGAAGGAGCAGAAGAGGTGGGGGGCACTTTCCTCCCCCTCCCCTTCATTTGGTTGATGTTGCACGGTGTTGCCCCCCCCCCAGCAAGCCCTGAATGGCTCCCCAAATTCCTAGCTGCTCCTGCCCTTCCACCCGTCTAATGTTACTTCCCCACTAATTCTGGCCCAGGCC